GTGCGCCAGGCAGCGTAGAGGGCGGGGGAGCGTTTGTGTATAATCTTCTTGGCGTTTGAGCCGCTCGTACTAGAACATGAGTGCCGCGCTGTGTCGGCGAACCCCGAACCGAAATCGTCCGAATATTCATCGTCACAAGGCTTCTTTGCGTCCGACACTAAGGGAGGGGTCAGCAAGTCAGGAGCGTCCGCAGTCGATTTCAGCGCGCGCTTCAGCTGCTCAACCTCGCGCTGCATCGTGCGAATGCGCACCGCCGCGTTCCGGTCGCCTTCCTCATCCTCCTCGCCCTCCTCCTCGCCCTCCTCCTCGCCCTCCTCCTCGCCCTCCTGGTTTCGGCGGGTGGCCCTTGGCCTTGCGGATCTCGACGATCTCGCGCTCAAGATAGGCGAGGCGCGATTCGGGATCCGAACTCGGATCGTGCGTAGCCGACCAGCCGAGAACCGACTCGAGCGAGCCAGTGTCGCTGTCCTGCGTGAAGCCGATGATTCCGGCGTGGAAGTGAAGGTCGTACTGCGTTCCGAAGTACTCCCAGTCGCACGGCACGCTCGAGATCGTCGCCGGGAAATCGGACGATTCAGGGCCGTGGAAAAACATCTCCGCCCACGGCCGGAGAATGTTGGCTTGGCCATTCGCGAGGTAGGGATAGAGGATGCTGATCCAGCCGCTGATGAAAGAGTGCGAGCCCGAGCCACCGCCGCGGTGCTGCGCAGCTTCACCATCGTCTGCCAGAACGAAAAGTTGACCTCGCCGCGGTAGCTGTTGACGAACTCATCGAGGACTGGGAGCAGGCACGCCATCCACTTGTCGCGGAACTCCGGCATCATCTTCTCCCCAAGCGCCTCGGCGCGCGCACGGAGCGCTGCCAGTCCTCGAGCGTCCCAGTGAGCGTGATGGAGGGGATGCCGCACATGGTCCTGCAACCGAAGGAGAAGTAGTTCTCCATCGCCGCCATAAGCGTCACCTCTGAGGCCGCGCGCGCGCCGGCGTTGGTCGTCGAAAAGGCGCCGGCGATCGCGTGGTGTGTCTCATCGCCGATGTGCTCGCGAATCTGCCTGCTAAACTTGGGCCATCATCCGGCCCGCTGGGTGCGCTTCTCTTAGCTCCCCGGCCCTGGATGTGAGGCTAATGACCCTGCACTCCAAGTGCTCCAAGCTCTTGGTGCTCCTGGCGGCCGTTTGAAGGGCGGGCGCGCGCCGATGGGGGGTGGGTGTGTCTTGCTTGCTCCACACCGAGCGCCCACGGTCCGGACCGGCGTGGTCACCGAGGGTCGGCTTGCACAAGGTCTGTGCCGCGGGCGCTCGGCGCCAAGTGCAGTGTCACGCTGTTCATCAACAAGCGGTTGCGCCGCTTGGACCCGAGCATAACCCTCCCTCCACCTACCCGTCTCCCGACGACACGCCCATCGTCCAGTGCGCGGACTACCTCCACGTGGCCTGGCACCCCGTCCTTGGATAGGACGTTAAATAAACCTGTAGCCTCTCGGCTATTTCTCACCGCAGACCGCAGACGGGCACGCGAGCCTTCGCGTGCTCGCTCTTTTGTTCTAAGATTCTTTTGCGACGGGGCTTGTATTCCTAGAATTCTTTGCGACGACGTTCGGAAGTGTACAGCGCCGAATCCGACAGTTGTTTGCGAAGCGGACAGCCTCTGGCAAGAGAGTAGGCACGAACGATGCCTGTGCTGGCGTGGCTCGCTGCTGTGCCAAGCCGCTCGCCTCTATTTGCTAGCACCAGCAGCTGCCCCGAATGCGACCTCTCTGGTCTCGGCTTCACGCCGTGGGCCAGCGGCTCAAAACCCTTTTCCTTGGCAGAGTGGCGGGCTCTCGTTCCAGAGCCACACGATCAGATCAATGGCAGGGTCCCGCCAGGCATCCCGATTCCCACAAACTCGACGCGACTCAGCGCACAGTTGGTCAATGACGTGTGCTTCGTCAACTGGTGGATTCCAGGGCGGCCGCGGGGGTACCGCACTCCCATTCACGTCCACCCGCGGCCACAGACAGTGTGCGTCGTCAGCGGCGCAGTCATGACCATCGCTGATGGTATGCCGGATGAGCTCCACACAGCGGGCGAATGCTACTTGATGCCAGCGATGACAAAAATGGTGAACCTGGCCGTCGGAAATGGCAGCGACGGCATGGGCTATACCGATTTTGATACCTTTCGCGTCCCGCTTGGCGAGCCCGAGTGGGTGGTAGTTGAGCCGGGCCCGATTTTGGCGGCGCAGGACCTGCAGTTCGTGCGAGACTGGCATAACTCCTCGAGCTGTACCATGTAAAAGTCAGATACGCTCAAGCTCGAGACGCAGTCCTTGGGACAGCGACGACTGTGCTACCGTGACCATAGAGGTCGCCCGTGGGGCAAGGTATGAAGTGTATGGGCGTCTGTTTCGCATGTGTGTTACTCGTATGATATGTACGGACTAGCCGGTACAAAAATTCCCGCTATTAAAGCTTCATATGGGCCCGAACGGAGCTCTGGGGAATCTCATGTCCTGGAGAGCCCGGTGTGATGAGACATCACCTCGTGCCGGCACTTAAGAGATACTTTTACTCTACTTTATACCAATTGTATCTGGCATTGTATCTGCATTGTATCTGGAATTTGGCCGGATACAATTGTATCTGTAGGTGCCCCTTGTTGTATCTCCCATGTAGGTTTAGGAAGGTGTGACAGGGAAAGGTATTGTACCTGCATGTGACCTCTTGCGCTAGGCTACCCACCTTATGCGAGGATAGGCCTCGGGCTATCGGGCTATCTCGGTTCTCGGCTCTCTCGCAGCAAACGTCAAAGGTCAAAATTGGACGGCACGCCTCTTGTGGCCCAATTGACCTTTGACCACTCTGAGGTGACCGACTCTCAAGTAAGGGGATGCAGTGGGCGGCCTAACACGAGGTGTACCGTAGTGCGCCGCCCACCCGCCACACACGCTGCTCAAGGAGCCGCCTCTTCTTTCCCTCGTGCTGTGGGCGAAGTTGCTCCGGAGCTCCTCGGCATGGTTGTCCACATGTTTGGCGAACCCCCATGCGATCTGCGCCCACACGGCGTCCGGAGAGAGAGGGTGAGCGGGAGGTGCCGGGCTTGCGCGCACTGTGGGGGAGCACTCCAGGTTTTTCAGAGAGAGGAGTCCTCGGGAGAAAAAATCGAGACGAGACGAAAACACGCTCACTTAACCCTCGCTATCGGCGTGGCATCTGCAGTCGGCATAGCCATCGGCACGGTGGTCCCCAACCCCATCGGCAAGGCCGTGACGACCACCGCCTCCGCGATCGGAAGCTCAATTGCAGCACGGAAGTGATCGTCCGCCTTGCGGCGGCTCACATAGCGGTGGCTCCACGCAAAGCTTCCGTCGGGCTGAAAGTGGCAGCGCACGGGTCCCTGCAGCACGTTGCCGTGGAGGGAGTAGTTGTTGCGCCCGCTGTACTGGCCCCAGGTGGTGGCACACGCGCCGCGCACGGTGAAGGCGAAGGCCTCCACCGCCCCACCGCCGCGCATGTGGAACGACTCGTAGAGACCCTCGAGCGCCGGGGCACTCGAGCGCGGCATCTCGCCCGCCGCTGGACGGGAGACATAGCCGTGGGACCAGGTGATAGTGCGGGTTGCGGCGTCGACCTGCGCGGTGATCGCTGCGTGGCGATGGTGGTGGAGCACGCCATTTCGCATCGTGTACGTGTTCATGCCGGACTTGGAGCCCCACGTGGCGCATTGGTCGCCGCGTACGGTGAAGGCGAAGGACTCCACGGCGCGGCCACCACTGATTTTGAAACTCTCGTAGATGCCCTCGAGCGGGTCGCACGTCCGCGAACCAGCCACCGCTCGCGGCAGCGGGCCTGCCGGGCCGAGGTCGACAGGGGCCGACGCGCTGCAACCCATTATGTGTACCAAAAGGAGGCTGCACGCGACGCCCTCTACGCTGAGGGGTTCAGGCGCAACTCCTTGGACAGATGGTACGAGGCGCGTAAATGCGATGCGAGCGTTTATAGACTGGTTCCACATTGAATTTAGCCCTCCGGACGGGCGGCCGCCCCCATTGGCCCCTCCTCACCTCATTGCGACCGTAGTGAGCGCCACGGCGCCCACCCGCGGCCTCGCCGACGAGGTCGTCGGCCTCGACATGTCCGTGCTGATACACGCCGCCCTCGCCGCCCCCGACGCCGCTCTCGATAGGGTGCCCACAGGGCCCAAAAAAAGAAAGGAAAAAAGAAATGGGCCACCCCCGATCGCAGCACTTCGTGTTGGCGAGTCGAGATATTGAGAGTGTGACTAGGAGGGTGGGACGCTGGGGATTCTCAAAGGTATACCCTTGGAATGGCCGGATCCAGCCTTAAAAGTACGAGATCGCGCGCGCTTCGCGCACAGCACCGCCTGTTCTCCGCGGCTGAGTGACGACGCGTGCCGTGTGCCAGCAGAGTTGGGCGCGCGCGGCGCGACGGCGCCCGCGAGGGAAGGCGCGGGTGCAGCGGCCGCCGGCGGCCGTACCGCCCGCCAGCCGGCGCAGCAGCGGCCAGCGCAGCGGCCGCCGGCGCAGCAGCCAGAGCAGCCGGTGCGCGCCTTGCGAGGCGAGTACTGCCGCCCGGCAGCCTTGAGGCGGCCGGGCGGCAGTACTCGTTCGAACTTTGCGAGCCGTGCGCGCGCCGAGGCGCCCGCGGCGCGCGCCCGCCCGGCTGCCAGTAGGAGGCGGCGCAATATGGCCTATAGTACAGCCCTTAGGAGGAGGAAGAGGCTGGCTGGCAGTGCTGTATGCCGCCGAGGGGCAGTTTTGGGGTGCTGACCCACGCCCAGGGGGCTGCAGAACGCGTCCGCAGCCGGGACAACCCGCCCCCCCAGCCGAGGCCGGTCGAAGCCCACTTGGAGGCAGCCATGAGGAGTCCTCTTGGTGCTCCTGGCGCCCGTTGGAATGGCGAGCGCGCGCCGATGGGGGGGGGGGGGGTCTTGCTTGCTCCACACCGAGCGCCATCGGTCCGGACCGGTGCCTCCACCGAGGGGTGGCCTGCACAAGGTCTGAGCCGCGGGCGCTCGGCGCCAAGTGCAGTGTCACGCTCGCACTGGAGCGGGTCACAATGGGAAACCCTCGTTTCCTATGTACTCGGTCCCCCAACGGAAGAGGCCTCGCTCCTATTGGAACTGGCCAACATCAGATTTGCCTCGTGCGTCCCTTTTTGAGCCGGAAAGCTATTTTCTTTTGGGTCCTGTGGGCACCCTACTCTCGAGCTTGTCCTCGGCAACCCCGCGCTGCAACCCATTCCAAGGCAGATGACACGGGGGACTCGCAGTGGCTCGTGGGGGGGCGGGAGCTCCTTGCTGGGTCCGATGGACTGTAGTTTTCTTATCTTTGCGTCCATGGATGCCAAGCCTAATGTTTAAGCTTTGAGGAGCGCAGCGACGAGTCCGTTAGGAGCGGCCCCAGCTTGCTGGGTGCGCCGCCGCCGCGCGCCGTAGCGAGAGACTCTAATAGGTTAAAACTAGCGCCGCAGGCTTTTCCCCCGGGCCGCGAAATAGCCGGGACTTCCGTGTTCAGTCGTGTGGGTTCAGTCTTCACTTGACCGCGGGACCGCGCGGAAAAAAATCTTTCGTTCTTTTGGTGTGGCGCTGGCGGCGCGTGTGTGCACTTGGACACTTGAGCAAAAGTACAATGCGGCCCACAATAGTCTGGCCCGGTTGGCTCAAAACACGCCGGAAGCGAGGCCGAGGGCACTACAAAGGGCGACGCTGCCTGTTCTCTATCTTCTCTCCAGTCATGTGCCCCCCAACCGGGTCCTCTGGAAGGCACCGCGCGCCAAGTGCTACGGCGGCTGCGGCGAGGCAAGCGGCGGCGGCGGTGGTGGCTGTGGCGCCGGGTCGGGCGGAGCGGGCTGCGGCTCTGGCGCCTCCACCAGCTGCTGCAGCGGCCGCTGATCCTGCTGCTGCTGCTGCTCCTGCTCGGGCGGCCGCGGGCCCGGCGGCGGCGGCTGCGACGGCTCCGCCCCCAGCGGCGGCGGCGGCTGCGGCGGGCAGGCGGCCGCCTGGCGGGACGCCTCCCCGTCGACGCGCCCGCCAGGGCCGGGGTTGGACGGAGGGTCGGGCGGCGGCGGGCCGGGCGGCGGCTGCTGCTGGGCTTGGGCGTGGTCGTGGATGCTCGCTCGGAGCTCCTCGTCCCAGCCTAGCAGCCGAGGCGAGCTCGAGGGTTACATATCATTCCATCCCATTCAAATGATTATGTTCCATTACTATATTCTAGCCTAGCAGCCGGGCGAGCTCGAGGACGCCCGCGTCGCAGTCGCCCTCGAAGAATGCGTCGCGGTGGTTCGCCTCGTCGCCGTGCAGCATCGCGCGCGGGTCGCGCAGCCCGAGCAGCCGCACCATCGGGTCCGCCTCGCCGACGAGCTCTCCTGTGGTACGGGCGTGGACGAGTCACGGAACGTGTCCTGCACCGCACCCTCCCCCTCGCCACACCTCGCCTGTGGACAGGTCTCGGACATGTCTCGGACATGTCCTGGACAACCCTCCCCCTCGCCGAGCAGCTCGCCTGTGGACAGGTCTCGGACATGTCTCGGACATGTCGTGGACAACCCTCCCCCTCGCCGAGCATCTCGCGGTTCAGCAGCAGCCGCGGCGTCGCGAGGCCGCACCTGTGGGGAGAGGGTAAGGTAAGGTAAGGGAAGGTAAACTTCTCCACACACACGAGGTGGTGGGGCAAGGGGGGGCGACCCTCGCGTCTCCACGTCTAACGACAGGAGCCCACGGCATTAAATGTGCAACGGTGCGCGTGGGTGGGGAGAGGGGTGTCCGGAGGAGGGCTCAGAGACGCGGCCCCAGAGACGCGGCGTGCGCGAGGGCGCGGCACCGGCCGAGCACGACGCGAAGGGGTATAAGGGGGTACACAGGGTAAAGGGGGTATAAGTGGCGCAAGGGGCACACGGGGGCACACGGGGGTGCAAGGGGGTACAAGGCACCGTCCGAGCAGAGACGCGAAGGGCTGCACCTTGAGCGACGTGCCCATCACGATGAGCGCCTGCTCGCACACCGGCCGGACGTGACGGGGGTATGAAGGGGGTATAAGGGGGTATAAGGGGGTATAAGAGCGCCTGCTCGCACACCGGCCGGACGTGACGGGGGTATGAAGGGGGTATAAGGGGGTATAAGGGGGTATAAGAGCGCCTGCTCGCACACCGGCCGGACGTGACGGGGGCCCCGCCGCCTCTCCGCCCGCCGGAGCCGACGCCGCGATGGCGCGCCTCCGCCGCAGGCAGGTGTAAGGGGGTATGAAGGGGGTATAAAGGGGGTATAAGGGGCGATGGCGCGCCTCCGCCGCAGGCAGGTGTAAGGGGGTATGAAGGGGGTATAAAGGGGGTATAAGGGGCGATGGCCCGCCTCCGCCGCAGGCAGGTCGGCCTCGGCCGCCTCAAAGAAGCGAGCCGGCAGCTGCTCGCCAAAGAAGACGATGTCGGGCTTGCAGAGCCCGCCGTACCGCTGCGCCAGCTCCGCCCAGCCTCCCGGCCCCTCGCGGCCGACCGCAACCGCCCGACGCACCTCGAGGGTTAGGAGGGGGGAGAAGGGGGGGGGGGGGGAGGGGTCAGGGGTCGGGGTCGGGGCCAAGCCCACCCCTTTGCGCATACTCGACGCTTGGGTCAATCCGCTCCCCCACTCGAGCTGGCTCTCAGTGAGGGCCGGGTCCACCCCCGGCGCCGGGTCTCGAGAGACCTCCTCGGCTCCGTGCCACGCGCTCTTACTGAGAGCCGCTCGCACCTCCCCGCCGCGCGGGGACCTTAATTATGAACTAGTAATGAGTACTGATGAGTTCAGGCGCACCTCGCCGAGAGGGACCGGCTCGCCCGTCTCGATGCAGTGGCAGCCGTCGAAGTTGCCGTGCGCGGCGATGGTCAAGTCGGCCGGCAGCCCGGCGCGCGCCTCGAGCGAGTCGATGTTTTGCGTGAAGCAGCGGCGCAGCAGCCCCTTCGCGTGCAGCAGCGCGACAAAGTGGTGGGCGGGCGTCGGCTGGAAGTTGTCGGGCCACATCTCCCTCGCAAGGAGGTAGAAGGCGTCGGGCCGCTCGCGAAAGTAGGAGAGCTCAAAGATGGCCTGCGGCGACGGCAGGTCGTACTTTTGCAGGTTGTCGTACAGGCCGGTCCCGGGCGACCTGAGTGTTGAATACGCCAGCTTCAGGGCACGAAGGCGGTATTGTGCAGCGTCTTCGAGAGCACCGCGTGAGTACAACGGAGAAGAATACAGTGCATACAGCGGAATACGACCGAGTACGGCGGAATACGTGTCCTCTCGGGCGCTAGTTGGGATACATGAACACGTATTCCGCTTCTAGGCCGGGCCGACCGAAAGTCCGGGATGCCGGCCGATACGGAGATGCCGGCGCCGCAGAGGACGACGACCGACCGCGGCGGGCAGGAGGCGAGTCGCTGCGCGAAGCCGGCGATGTCGAAGGACGGCAGCTGCGCCGGCCGCGCCGGCGCGTCGCGCATCTCGTACCCTCTCGCCAGCAGCGCCTCACGCAGCTGCGCCACCATCGCCGCCTGCCGCTCCTCCGACTCCTCACCGCTCCCCTCGCCGCTCCCCTCGTCGCCGCTGCCCTCGCCGTCACCGTCGCCCTCCTCGCCGCCCTCCTCGCCGCCTTCGTCGAAGCCGCCCAAGTCAGCTGTGCCCTCGCCGGGCATCGGCGACGCGGGGAGGTCAAAGATGCCGTCGCCGTCCGCGTCCGGCAATATCGCCGCAGCGGCAAAGACGTCCTCCTCGCCGTCCTCGCCGATCGCCGAGGCCACGGACATCGCATCGGTGTCGGAGTCGGAATGCTGCATGTGCATGTACACACACTCGGGTGTGGGGCGGCGGCGGCGCGGCTTTTTTCGTGATATGTAAAAAAGAAATTTACCCGGGCTGCCTCGCACAACACTGGGCAGGCGGAGCAAGCCTGCTCTAGTCTCACACGTTCGCCCCTGTCGCCTGTCTGTGTTGTTGTGCTGTTGTTTGTCTCTTGGCACCTTGGAGTGCTGGGGGGGGCGACAGGGGGGACGTGGCCTGAGTGATGTGTACGCCCACTCAGGATGTGTGGCAGCCCGCTGGCTGTGTGTCTCGTGAGCTTGTTTGTGTCTGTGTGTCGCTCGTGCGTGTCGTCATCATCTGTCTTTTGCGTCCACCCATACCGCGTTGGTGTCCAGTCCGAGCCTGACTGTTCTTCACCTTCCTACAAGCTGTACATACATACATACGGGACTGGCGCGTGGCACTAACAAAGAATTTAAACTCGCCCTTAAAAAGAATTACACCAACACTGAAGTCCCGCGGCGGTGTGACCGCCGCGCGCGCCGCGTGGTGACCGGTGTGCGTATGACTATTTTTTCTATGCGGGCGCTCTCACAGTACACAGGAGGTGAGTCTCACAAGCATCCCGCTCGCTTGGGCGTTGGAGGCCGCCAGAGAGGAGGGGCGGGGGCCGGCACCGCCACGCCACACCTCGACGAGGAGGCTCTAGTTTCCCCTCTCGCCTCTGCCGAGCACAACCTCCTCGCTCACGGAGGAGGGGAGGGCGGGCTCGGCGGGAGGCTCGGGAAGGTGTACTCGGCAAACACGAGGGCGGTGGTCAGCAGGGACAGCGCGACGCACACCCCCGTCGCCATCTGCGCGCGCCACGCGCCCGCCCCGCGAAAGTGCGACATGAGGCGCGAGGTGACGAGGGGCGGCGCCGTGCCGTCGCGGGAGAGCAAGTTCTGCAGCGAGGGCTCGGCGCCGCCGGCGCCGCGCCGCTTGAGCCGCATCTCCATCAGCCACTCGTCCGCCATGTCGCCGTCGTACTCGCGCACGACGCCGCCCGAGCGGACGAGCAGCAGCACGGCGCCTGGAGGGCGGAGGAGGGTGCGGCGGAGGAGTTCGGCAGGATGAGGAGGGGGGACGGGGCCTGCCGGCCGAGCGGGGGGCGGGCGGCGGCGCGCCGTGGACGGGCGGGTTGCAGCCGGGGCAGTTTTGGAAGTCGGGGTTGGTGAGGTGCGGGTGGTTGGGCTCCGAGTGCAGGTACTCGGCGGGGTCCCCAAAAGCGAAGCCGCCTAGAGGCGCGGCGTGCGCGTGTCGGGCGGGCAGCGAGGCGTCGGCGGCGCGGCGCGGAGGAGGCGCGGCCCTCGCGGAATCGCTCGCACGCCGCCTTGAAGGCGGCGGCGAGGGGGAGGCGGAGCGGCGCGCCCTTGGTCGCCTTGAGGT